TTAACATCAGAGGCAGTACAGGATAGTACAGATAGTTTTTGAACTGATCTCCAAACAAGCACAAACCCACTACGTTGAAAAGAAAAAAACAAAACAAAAAAACAAAACAAAACAAAAACAAAAAAAAAAAACAGGTAATTTGAGGTTTTTGGCAAAAGACAGTACTTCACACATCTAATCCAAATCAAAGAGCCTGCAGACAGTTTTCAGTGAGATGAAAGAAATGAAATAAATATAAATTCTATGGATAAATAAATGTAAAAGAATTTAAATAAGCTAACAGAACTAATTATTTTTTAAATTAAAATACTAGGCAGGTACAAGCTTTTGTTTCTCAATGCCAGACTTCTAAATGTTTATCAGACTACTATTAACATCATTTAAAAAATCTAATCTTTGACCCAGAGTGTTAGTAATAATACTGATTTGCATTTGCAAAACATTGTTTTACCACCCAATGCTTCCGTTCCTGAAAAATATTTTAGGTGTATTACTGAAGGCAGACTGTGGTGCTAATTTAAGTACCTTTAAAAAGTGACAGACACCAAAAGTCCATCTACTAATTTGCCCAAAATGTCAATGAGCATTAGTTTATAACTAACATCTTAAGTAGTGGCATGCCCTATTAAGTGGTATGATTAGTGACTAATATACCTTTAACACCAAGCCCACAACTTTCTTTCATGTCTCATTTCTGAAGTTCTTTATTCATTAGTTTTATACCCACCACTGAATTCCTACTCAGATAAAAATTTGATAGTGTACATAATTGGGGAGAAAAAAATCATGGTGGGTTTTCTTTGAAGTTTTAGGATTCTGAGCAATCATTTGCTCTTGGGTTTAGCTCTCCCGCTTAATGCCTGAAGACCTTACATTTTCTAATTTCTCCCCATGAAATACAGACTGTCATATTCTGTAATAACATGGTGGTCTTCTGCTATGTTTTTGATCAACAGTGATTTAAGCTTAGCAGTCAAATAAAGACATTCTGTCGATGTAGTTTCATTTTCATCCTAATGTTAAATACTTTAAAATATTTTATATACAAAGGAATAACCTAGATCACCCCATCCATCCATTTATTTTATAAAAAGTTTCTATTTTAAGTCAGATTTGCAGTAAGCATTTAAAAAATGTCTCATGACCTAACTTAACTGCCATCATGAGTGTGTAATAACTGTGTGTTCAAATCTCCATTTTAGCATGGATACAGTTGCAATGAATAAAAATCTTCCACAAAAATCATGTTTGGGAGAATATAAATAACACAATTTTTTCACAAAGCAACTTTCTGAAAACTGAAAAACTATAATTTATGATCACCTACGATTGCCAAGTAGTCTGCAGAAACAAAATCTTGCGTCTGTTTTGGTTAGGTAACTAAAGTTCTTTTTAACAATCAGAATACTTTAAAAAATACACTTTTCACCCAAAGGAAAGGACTCAACTAATGGATTTTAAGACCCTTTCCTTGATAATATATACAAAGTTTCTTTAACTTGTCATCTATCCATTCTTTGAAGCTGTCAAAGCCAAGAACCCATTAACAAATCACAAACAGCAATAACCTACATTAGTTAACATTCCCCCTTTTAACATGTTGACATTTCACTAAAGGATTAGTTATTTTTGCATTTCCATTTCTCATATCCCATGACATTCCATATAAATTGCATTATTGCTTTATAGGCCACACAACATTCAAAATTATATGCATTGCCTGTTTTCCTTTATCTCTGATAAGTTTGATACTGATTTTACTACAGAAATTTAAGTTTGAAAATACCAGTTAGTATTTCTTCTGAACTTAATTGTTCACATCCACTAATCACTACATGCATATTTAGCTCTGATTATATTGCTCAAAAACTGCACCCATTATCAGAACAGTGCAAATGACATTTAATTTTAAAATTAATTATAATGGCTTGAATTCAGTTATCCATATGAACACTGTCAAGTAATTTTCTTGTGTGTATATATTTCATTACCACTGTTTACATTACCCTTCTTTAAGCATAACCATTAATTCTTTGCAATTTCTTTATAACATCACTTTTCCTTCCCAAGTCCCCAAACTAAAAATGCCAAATAGTCTTGGAAACCCAGAGCTCCACATTTTAATGTTTTAAGAACACATTTGTGAAATCACAAAAGTGTTCATCAACTCTGACAAAGCAGTTCTTACTTTAAGTTAAACAAACCTGCCCAACACATAATTCTGAGAATTAACTTAAACACCTTGACAGTGTCCCTTAAAAAATGGTATGACAGTTAAGTGGCAATAGGCATGGCAATGACCTCTTAGATGGGATCATTTAACTCCTTGGACCTGGAAATGCCAGCACCAAGGATTACACTGAGATTCAATTTTACTGAAGGCTACATTTAGTTTACCCACTATCCACAACCTATTATACTCATTATGTCAATGAAATGTAAATGTTTTTTTGTGTAGCCCTCAAACTTACACTAAGATTTGAAAGATGTACTTTTAAAAAGCACAGGGTAATATATAAAATCAGTGGCAGAAAGTTTCATTAAGCACCAGGAACAAATTTTTGTCACCCCATACTCATTTTGTAGGTAAGTTTCAATAACCGGCAAGGCACATTTACATATATTCCAATGAATACTTATTGACAAATTTTAAATTACACTCTATGTCCCAGCTATCCCAGTAACTGACATACAACATACTAAAATGGTTTATTAAGGTAACAAAAAAACCAATTAATGTGAAACATACAGGCTATTGGCAACCACTAGTCTAAAATTATGTTAAGTACAAATAAACATACGGATATGTGTGCAATTCTAAGTTTTTAAACCAGAAGATTTCTATACTAACACACATTTATATTAATGACACATAAAAAAAATAAAAACTTTATTACAAAAATAAGTTACACTCGCCTCCAGCTTACAGTATAAAACAATTTTATTTGCAGGAATGCAAAATGATTGTTTGCCATGAGCATTTTGAACATATGACATGTCTAATTTTCTTGTTAAATTTGCATTTACTGGGGAACTGGTGTGTATAAAACCTTAATTAAGTATAAGCTCTGATCTTCATTGTGGTGGTGCCTTATTGGGTATGTAATATAACTGCAGTATCCCTTTGGGGAAGGGGAGAAGGGATTTCTTTACACCAAGTCCTAATAAACTATAATTTTACTTTTGACTTTAAGCTATCAACTTAGGACTTGGCAAAAATTTTTTGAGGGTGATTTAATAGAGGATGCTTCACCACTGAACACTCACTGTCATCAAGGTGCTTTAGAAAATTAAAAACATAGCACAAATGATTGTATTCTACTCTACAAGTTATCATGACCTGCATAAGAAATGGAAAGCTGATTCACATTTTTACAGTGATCAGCAATAAGAAATGCACTAATGAAACATACCTTTTACCTAAAAAGCTAAACTACAACCATATACTAATTTCTATGATTTATGAAAAAACTTCAAAATATCCAAATGTCAGGCTTTGCTGTACAATTGTCAGTTTTAGTCTGACTTTTTATAAAGGGACACTGCAGTATTTAGTACAAGTTCGGATGCACTTTTTTTGAACATCTGATGTCTTACAAAAGTAACATCTTGCTAAACTATTATACATCCAAATAACTACAATATCTGAAGAAGCAAGGCTGCTTTTTCAGCCACAAAATACGACAAAAGCAAGGCCTGTTATGATGGTCATGAGGAAGTCTTACAAGCCTCTGAAACTAAAGGCAACTAAGAATGTTACATTTGGTATATTAAAATCTTACCCTCATATCATATTTAACAAGCCTTGCTTTTATCTACAAAGATTTTCTATGTACAGTACAGACAGGGTATAGTTCAATCCTCTGCTACTGAGGTAGTTAACCAACCCTTTAAAAAAGGTTCTGAAAAGAACCACTATCTGGAATGCCTGACTAACCAGCTCTGATGATTACACCTGAAACTGCGTATCTGAACACAATTCAAAAGTGATTACTATAAAAAAGATATAGACAATCATGATTAACCTTGGTGAGCAGAAATAAAATTTAAGGATACCAACAGTGGCATTCATCTATACCACTGCAATAAAATTTAAATGCACAAATTCAAGAGAATATTTCAGAATACCACTGCTGAGATCCTTAATTTAAAAAAACAGGGGAAAAATCTACTTAAAGCAGATTTTTTAAAGAGAAGAACTTTATTCTTTATTAAGATATCATGCTAGAAGTTATGAAGGATTTCTGTTGGAACACATTTGGAAAATAGAATAGCTTTTGTTTAATAACTTGCACTGCAGAGAAAATTGTTAAAGAAATTCATATCAAAGTCCAAGTATTAGTTCAATGTCCCGTATTTGATTCCATGATCTTCACAGGAAGGTCTTCTGCAATAGAATATGCTCCTATACAGCCGAGATATTTAAGGTTGCTTGATTTCCTTACCATTACTCCACTGCAAGCTTCTGGTGTAATCCCACATAGCAAGTCAGTCTTCATTGTAACAGGTCAGGACCGGCCTCGACCCCTTTTCCCTGCTAGCCAGGTAACAAAAGGAATCAGTTAGATAAATCATTTTAAATTAAGTATGTGTACATACACAATGATAACATTAAAAAACAAAAATTTTAACATAGTAATTCATATATAAAGTCTAACCAAAAAAATTGCCTTTAGTACTAATAACTATTTTGCTTGATTTTTCATTTGTTTTGAGTTGAGGTATTGGTTTGCTTTTGTTGCCCCTTTTGGGGCAGAAGGGGAATGACTGGACTGAGGTTTGAAAACCCCCTTTTTCTTCCACAAAGTGATTTAAGAAAAAAAAAATTAAACCTAAAGGAAACCTAATAGAACATGCACTTTTAAGACACTTGCTCCCATTGACTTGCAGTTCCCACATGAAATAGTAATATGCTGAAAGCAAACATCTGAGATTTGTTTGACCTTGACATTTAAACGTCACTGATTAACTTTATTTTTTTAAAAAAAATCATTCTTTCA